GATGGAAAATAGGATCTCAACCACAGTTGAGTGAACCAAAGAGGTCCACTGCCAGTAGGAGATGCACCATTCTTCAATTGGGCCTGAAGAAAAGCCATACCTCTATAAAGGGCAGCCAAAAACAAAGAACATAAATTCAAAGGTCTGCCACGCGCCAGTTCATGCGCTATAGGTAGATAACTCAGAGAGGGCTTATACTAGGCACGCACAACACATATTTACAAAGCCAGAGTAAAAGGAAGGCCACCCGCTCAACATGAGTAGGCTCAGCACTCGAATGATTGTGCAGTGTCTGCAAGCTTGAATAAGAATCGGTATAGTTTTTACCGAACTGAGGGGCACCACCAGAACTAAGATGCCTGGGAAAACGGTATCACCCAAAGGTGGTAAATTTACCAGGGCCCCAACATCCCTTAACATAATAGACATGGGGCCAAGAGGAAAAATAAAGGTATTATACTCAGAGGACCAAAAGCTCAAAGCAATCGGAAAGAGCGTTGAATCAAAAGTAGGAGGGCGAATAGAGACTTCCAACAAATCAGAAATCCTAGCGCTATCAAAAAGTGCCTTAGTAGGACCATGACCCACAAGACGAGCATGCCACCTACGAAAAGCTACGTCAGATTTGGGCCAAGTGCGAATACCTTTTTCACGAAGTGGCCCCAGCGGCAAAGAATTCAGAAAATGAGAGCCATGAGTGCAAGGAAACAGCTGACCCACTGCCGTCTGTTCGACTGCTTCCGCATTGTTGAAGAAAGGACCTAAGTAAAACTCATTACGTCCAACATCGGCGGGCGCAAGAAAACTTGGGGTTACGTATGAACGACTCAGAAGTTTCTGAAAGTCGTCAAAACTAAAGGAATCACTAGCTTGGGATTGTAAAGTAGCCATTGAAGAGGAGCGAAACTTTTCAGAATTACGTAACAAGGAAGCAAAATATGAACAGGGAATCGCGAAGGATGTGTAAGAAATATGAAACGTGATTTCGTAGCAGTAAAATGGCGTGTTCAGGGTTTATAAGGGTTTGCAAAGCGACGCACCTTTTCAAGTTATAGAAGGAAACAATGATTGAAATTCTTTGGGAATCGTGAACGTTGCTGAAGACGTGAAGTGAATATGGCAAAATTCAATAATTATTATTAATTCTGCCATATTGGGGGGTAAGTGTTGACACATAAAAATTCAGCCCAAATCGAACAGCCCAGAGAATAAAACCCAATGGGAGGATCCCCAAATCAGATAGCCCAAAGAACGAAATCCAATTGAACGAATCAAGGTGAATGCCCAAATAAGGGGCCCAATAGTGCGGTAACGCTATCGTCCAAGTTTGCAAGTCGCTCAGAGTCTGAACGAATAGAGTGGAATACGGTCGTCCAAAGTCTCGCCCAAATGTTCAAGTCGCCCAAGGTATCAACAAACGTAACGCATTATGATGCAGTTATTGAGGCAGTTGCTAAAGTAACTTTATCACGTTCCACGACTCGAGGGGTTCAATCCAAAGCGGTTGAACGATGCAAGATAATGGCAGCAGTTAAAAGGACAGTTGCACGACAAAATGGCCACTACAAAGAAAGTGGGTAGTTATAGGGCGATCAAACAATCTTTTAGAGCAGTTAATCACAAAGCGATCGCCTATGAAGTATAAAAGAGAGAAAGAATTTAGAAGAAAGGACCGAATCCAAAACTCTCGAACAGAGAATATGTAATTTTCATTCCTTTAGCTTTTAGACTTAAACATTTCCTTTTCTGTAACTCGTGTGCTTGCGCCCCTTGGAGGCACGTTGTTTTCCGTTTCCAATTGTAAAGTTCATCGCCAATAAAAAGAACACCCCTTTTTGGAACTTTGTCTCAAGAGGTTTCGTCCCTTACACAATCGTCTGATCTTCTTTAATTGTTAGCGAATTAACCCGCGCGAAACAAATTTTTAAAGAAGTGGGTTTTCAGGATGCCATCAATATTTGGCTATTTTCTCTATTGGAATGTATGCGAACACTGGAAATGACAGGAACTTTGGCAACACTATCTATTTTTATTTTTATTTGCTAATTTACCTTTTATTCAAAGGCCATTGGCGATTAGTACACCAAAATATTGTATTCTTTTCTTTTTTTTTCAAATTTTTGTTTTTTGTTTTTATAGAATTAGGAATATAATTTTAAATTTATTGTGGTGTATTTATTAAAAATATATTTTAATTGTGGTATGATTATAATGTAGATTGGTAATTAAATTTGTAGTGGTAATATAATTATCCATTTTACAAATATGTTTGAAGGAAGTGAGGATATTTTTCCTTTTCTTTTTCTGGTAATTTTTCTTGATAAAATTGCTGCTTTTTAATAATCTTCTCCCATTCTTTTTCCTTTTTGTTAGAACAATGCCCTGCGTACAGGGCACTGTTCTACAGGGGGCTTACAGGCTCCTTCACTGTAGCTGTAGGTTGGTCCCACTGACCTGCATTAAAAAAAAAAAAAAATTGTTCCGGCCCTGCCCTTGTGTCTGTCCTGGCCAACCTCTATAATTGCCCCCCCTGTATGTGAAGGGCGATCCTTTTTGTTAATGATTTTGTTCAATATCGTAATTAGAATTTTTCTTCATAATTAGTAATGTGTAAAGATGTTAATAGCTTGATTACGAGTTTCTACTAATAGACTGCTCAAATTTCTTGCAAATATTAAAAATTCCATATCAGAAGGTGCACAACAGACTTTTAGGCGTGGTACCAGATGGTTTTTGGTGGGATTGCACAAACCATTGCCGGCGCTTCAAATTTATCTCAGTGGATAATAAATTACTTTCTTCTACAGATTGGTTTTTTTGGTATTTTTGGAATTTTGGTTTTTAGGGTCATTACTGGTTAGCATGGAGAAGCCGAGCAATGAGTGAAGCTTGATCTTCTTGATAATAAATTGTCTAGCGAAATTTCAAGTGGGAGCCATTTGTGGACAGAGTTAAATTAGTTGAATCCGGCAAACAATGAATTTTATGGGAAAATTCCTAACGAAATTGTGGAAGTGTTTGTATTCAATTATCTCGATTTATTTGAGAATAGACTCTAGTAAAATCCCAGTTTCATTACAGAACTTGAAGTTGTATCAACTTAATTTGTCAAATAATCACTTTCAGCGGATCTATACTATACCTAGGTTTTGATGGGTATTTGTCAATTTTTTGAATTTACCTGACTTTTGAGTATTTGTCCCTTTTTTTTTTTTTTTTTTTTTAAATTTCTGTCATTTTTTAATGCGTAATTTTTCTTTTTGAAATTTTCGTCACTTTTTTATTGATTGTCACTTCTTCTTCTTCTTCTTCTTCTTCTTCTTCTTCTTCTTCTTCATTTTTTTTATTTTTTATTTTTTGTCACTTTTTAAAATTTCTATCACTTTTTTAGTGCCCCACTTTTTTTCTTGTCACTTCTGAATTTTTTTTTTCAAATTTTTTATTGTTTGTTACTTTTTTGAATTTCTGTTACTTTTTAAAGTGATAAACGGTATTTTTTTTAATAAAATGTGACACTTAAGTTTACATAGTATTTTTTACTTTCAAAACAATTTCCATATGGTTTTTCAAAAGATCCCTTTAGGGGTATATTTGTAAGGTTCGCTTAATTATATAGGGTTAATCCTATGTAATGTGGTAATTTGAGTATGTAGGTCAAGAAGATCTAAATCCTAATTGGAGGCATGAATGGGAAGGTTCAATAACTTTTCTATATATAATAAGATGTTAGATCTCATTTCCTCTCCAGTCTCCACGTGTTTATTGGCTTGTCCCATTGACGATTAATACTTTGCGATGAACAAAAAAAAGGGGATCTAGCTACTAATATTTGCATCCAAGATGTTTTGCGGGCATATCTCTTAAACTGGCATTTAGAATCAAGATTTTTATTTCTTGACATAATTGTTATTACATACAACTAAAACTTCAAAATTAAGGCTTTCCGCAAAAAGTTCATTTAGAGAAGCTCGAAATTTGGACTTCTCTAAAATAACTTTTTAAGGCTATTTTTGTTCAAAAAGTACTGTTGACTTTAGCTAAACGGCCAATATTTTAAACAAAAGAGCTTTTGACCTCTAAAAAGTGCTTTTAGATTTTGAAAAACCTTCCAAACACAATCGTTTGCCATTGTCAAGTTGAAATTTACTCGGTTTTTAATTTTCCAATTAAGCTTAGCTTCAGTGAACTTTCGATATTTTTTGTAAAGCAATTTATTAACTGATATTTATGATTGTAGAAAAAGTTAAAAATGCATAGAATGATGAACCTTTTTTTTTTTTCTTCCTCCACTAAATTGTTGCATTCTGGAGTACACGAGGTTGGATGCAGCATCTTATTAACCAAAAACTGAATGAATTCACGACTTCATTTTTCATGAAATTCTATCTCAAAAAACAATTTCATGTTTTACAATTTTCGATCGGCATAAGAAACAAAATGCTCTTCAAGCACACTACCATGTATTCATACACGATGCTTCACAATTTGTGCCACAAATACTAAATGACAGTAATGGCTAGAAGAATACAAGTTCTCCCATGCAAGCAGCATGAGATAAGATAGTCTACCATTTAAAATATGACCAAATTTCAGTATCCATGGATACATTACTCCACAGATTTTTCAGAGGAAAAGAAAAGGCAAACCATACATTTTATGCCACACAATACTGGCAGATAATCAATGTGAGGCAAACGACAGATTCGAAAAATGTCATTGATTTTTACATGAAGATACATCAATTCCAGTATAGACTTTGTGAACAATAATTTTCCCTTCTTATCTATGGACACTTGAATTAGATCCATTACAATAAACTATTTGCAATGTGTTAGAAACCTATCATACAAATATGAACAATGGCTTCAATTCCCCTTCAGTAGGAGTGGAGTAACAGGTGAATCAAACCTGCAAAAGGGTGGTGGAGAAGTTCGTGCAACGACTTTCTTCTCCACACTCGAGAGCTTCTGCCACCTTGAAAAGACTGATAATTGGAATCATTCTCAAATCTCTATTTGTAACACAGTTCTAGCATAAGGGGGCAGAAACAACTTTCTTAAGATTCTGACTCAGTCCATTGATTGTCTGATATATTGTATCTGATTTAGGGTGAGATGTATCCATCACACTGAATTCATGAAATCCATCATCCAACTCAATTGAACTGGCCCCAGATACCTTCTGGCTGTTCGTCTTCTTCGTTTGCAATCTTGCGTTAGCAACACTTCCCCAATTCCCTGCCATGGCATATATATTTGACAGCATAGAACAGCTTCCTGCATCAGTCGACTCTAATTTCACCAACCGGTTAAGCAACTCCTCAGCAATTTCCATAGCATTGTGCATCCGGCAAGCCCCTAGAAGGGCACTCCAAATAACCACATTTGGCTCAAATGGCATGTTATGTACAAGCGAAAGAGCTTCCTTAAGACGGCCCCCACGACCCAAAAGGTCAATCGTACAACCGTAGTGTTCGATCTCGGGAACAATTCTATAATCTCTTTCCATGGAATAGAAATAACTAACCCCCTCATCAACTAAACCTGCATGACTACAAGCAGACAATACAGCAACAAAAGTCACTTTATCAGGTGTAAATCCTTCTCGTTTCATCCTATCAAAAAATTGAAGAGCTTTGTGTCCGTGTCCATGCATGGCCAACGCATGGATCATGACATTCCAAGAAACTAAATCTTTTCTTACCATCACATCAAAAATATTTGACGCCTTGTTCAAGCTCCCGCATTTGGCATACATATCTATTAAAGCATTAGATACTGAAGTACTGCATTTATAATTACCCTTCACGATAGATTTGTGAACTCTCTTTCCTAACCCAAGCAACCCAGACCCTGCACTGGCAGATAAAATACTAACAAATGCCCCATCATCTGGTTTCAATCCTGCCCCCTCCATTTGATCATACAACCGTATTGCCTCCTTTGCAAGTCCCATTTCGGCATACCCAGATATTATTATTGTCCAGGTAATCAAATTCTTCACTGGCATTTTATCAAAAATGATTCTAGCCGTTTCCACATCCCCTGCTTTAACATAACCCGAAACCAGTGTAGACCATGAGACGACATCCCTCAATGGAATTTTTTCAAAGAGCTCAAATGCAACATTCATCTCCCCGGCCTTTACATACCCGTCCAAAATAGTGTTCCAGCTCACCCTATCTCTCTCAGGCATTTCATCAAACATCTTTCTTGCCTCCGTCAACTCTCCAGCTTTCATCAACCCACTAATCATCGAATTATAAGTAACCACATCCCTCTCCTCCATTGCATTATACACCTTCTTGGCTGCTCTAATACCCATCAATCCGCACTTAGAGTACGCATCAATTAATGAATTGGGCACGAATATATCAGAATAAAGACTACATTTTTCGACATGGGCATGAATCATTCTAACTAATTCCAACCAATCTTTCCCCGAACAGGCCTTCAAAAGAAAAAGGAATGTGAAATTATCCGGCAAAACCCCAGAATTTTGCATTTCACAGTAAATCTCAAATGATTTTTCGGGCTGCGAATTCTGAACATGGGCCCTGATCAACGTGTTGTACAAATGAACATTTGGATACTCTACTTGATTAAAAACACTAATGGCTAGTGCCATTCGTCGGCATAAAGAGAAAGCGGAGACGAGTTTAGGCGCAACAAAGGGGTCTCTCTGAAGATTGTATTTGTATATAAGAGCATGGACTTGCTTCAGTTGATTCAAGTCTTTGCATTTGTGGAGGTCAGCGAGTTTTTGTTCGAAAAGTCTTCGTCTAGAAAACCATGTCGGGGATCGAATGGGCGCCGGCATCTGCATTTTACTGTGTTCGGAGAAAGGTGAAGTTTTGCACATGCAGGATGGAAAATCGGCGGGCGGGAGATGAGGGCTATGCTTCAGCCAGAATGCGTCAGTGAGAGTACCGGATAAGGTACATGCGTCTGTGAAAGTACTAATCAATCTTTAAAACTAGGGAACAGCCATTTAGGATTTTATTAAAAAAAGGTTGAACCCCAAACTCATCGCCTCGTCCCTGGAGCATTGTGTGGGAGATAAATCACAAGATGTGTTTCAGCAGATTAGGGAATAAGAGTTTGTCCGTACACTGGTGCCCACAAAAAGTACAATCCATATCTCAAGAACCGAACACTCACACTGTGACTATCAGCAAAGTTGAATCTACTTCATTCTTATTATTTGCACCACTGAATTATACCCCAGAGACTATTTAAGAGGTTTATTAATTTGAGACTTGGGTTCATTTGATTGGCTTCAATATCATAAAAAATGTCACCTTCAATAAATTTGTTTTCTACTTTGACTATTTGATGCGAAAGTGAAAATGAAATTAGAATTCCAAAATACAAATATTTAAAGCATGTTTTTGACCAATTGAGTGTAAAATACATTCCTATGATTTTGGTGAGTTTTTCTTTTCTAACTTACATGGAATTGATTTGCTTTTTTCACTTTTACAATCAAACGGGGCCTTAAAGAATTTCAAGGAACTAAAAAGTTTAGATGCATTTAGTTGAGACTTTTAAACATTCTTTGAAAGTTTAGGTCCACTCAAATGAAATTTTTTAGACTTTTAAAATGTCTCTAAAAGTTATGTTGTATTCAATTTAAATTTTTTAGAAGTTTCTTCAAATAGGCAGTGACTTTTGGAGAATTCTCGACTTTTAGAGACTTTTTGATGAAAAATATAAAGGAAAAATTGCAGCAACGGTCCTTAATCTTTTAATTTTTTGCAGATTTTATCTTAACCTTCATTTTGTGCCAGCAGAGGTTCCTAACATTTCATAAATATGACCTAAGGTTCATTCACTGACGGACCCACATGGGATCATGTGGGGTCAGTTGAGACCACAAAAATTTCTGTTTTTTTTTTTTTTTGGGTTTAATATATGAATTATGCCTGTCCGAGCCTTTTTTTTTCACACTAAAGATTAAATATAATATTGTCCAATTGTTTATTGTCAAGCTCAATTGCACAAGCCCATTAATTGGTATTTCACCTATCCAACTCCATCTCCAAGTCCATTCTCCCCACTCCTTTACGTTTCGAGATTTTCTTTCTTGTGCTAACTTTGTAATCTTTCTTCCATTTAGGTAACAAATCGACGCCCTATTTGTTTGATTTGACATATTTTTATTCTAAAATTCATTTGAATAATTGAATTTGAGATTTGAGAAATATTTTCCAACTACAATCCCCAATTTCCCATTGCTTATTAGTTATTATCAAGTCTACAAGAAAAAACATAAACATCTAAACGAGTCGGAACTGCCATATTATGTAAATTATCAATACAACATTTGGATAATTTTTTATTTTTTTTGGTGATTATTTGATGTTTTTTGAAGAATCATGCATTTATCCTTATCCGGTTAAATTATGGGGTTTGGATCTAATTGTTACAACAATAAATAAGAAATTAAGAAGACAACTATAAAATTTTGTGTGAATCTGGAAAGTATGATTTTGGTCTCTGCTAGTATTAAAAAAAATGGTTGATGTCATCTTGTTTCTTCTTACTACTTATTCAACTGAAATAGCAAACTCTCTCCTCTAGATGCTGTGCTCATATTTTGTTAATATTGACTTTGATTTTGTAACATTCATGGAGAAATATTTTAAATAAAAACCCTTATTTTTGAGTGCAGAGTAAAATGTAGTTGAAGCGAGCGTTCAAAACAACATATTATGATATGTTGTTCTAAAAAGAAATTGTATTTTTATTTTAACCCCACAATGCCAAATGTCTGGCTCCGTCCCTGAGTCCATTTGGATGGAAACCATCCAAAACATTGTCAGTTGATCGAAAAAATTAGGGAATTAACATCCAATAAAATAGTCCAAAACACTGTCCAAAAAAGTATCAAAATCCAATAAAATCGTTGTAATAACAGATAGTTAAAGGAATTTTTCCGATCAACTAATGGTGTTTTGGACGGTTTCCATCTAGATGGATTTCAGGTGCATATTTATGAAAGGTTAGAGACTTTCGCTTACACATAATGAATGTTAGGGTAAAATCTGCAAAAAATGAAAATGTTAGAGACCGATGCTGCAATTTTCTCGAATATAAATAGCAAATCTCAAAGAAAATTTCTCATATACTTTGAGATTTGTGAAGATTTCAGAGCCGAAAAAGAGAACTTTTTATTTTTTTAAAATTTTAGGATTTTCTCATATCTCTTCAATTCATTTGTGTAACCAATTTATGGTTATTTATAATTATTTTTGAATTGAAATTATATGCAATTGTTTAAAACATTGAATTCCATGTATTGATCTATTCTTTTTTTTTTTTTAGTTAAGAACAATTTGTATTATTAGAAATTATGTTAATTTCGTGAAAATAATTTAGTTATTTTCTTAGAAATTGATGTAAAAAAATAATTTAGTTATTTGAACCAAAATTGAATGACTTGACTGTAATTAGTGACTTTATTCACGAAATTTTTTTGAGCATCATGGTTCTCGAAAATATTAATTACACTCACACTTTTAAAAGAAAATTAATTTTGTGTTATTAATTTTAAATTAATTAACATTCACATTAATTTAAACTCAATGAATCTAGAATTATTATAGAAGAATTTATTTTTATTCATGTATCTAGAAATTTTAATGTATATTTAAATTCATATATTAGCAGTTAATTCTTATGTATAAAATGTGAAAATGTTGTTCATTTATATTATTTTATCATCACAAAAAATTTGAATAATATAAGTTGAGTTTTGAGAGTGCAATTTTCTTTTCTTAAATTTCTATTATAAATTTCATTTTCTTAAGTTCATTTGAGACTCGTCAAATCCTCATAACAAATTTGTATCAAATATTACTTTTAAAGCACTTATAAAGCATTTCAAAATAACGTGCAATGTACGTACAACTTTGACTAGTAATCAAAAAATATTCTCTTCAACTGAAATCAAAACACCATCCAATTCACAATGAGAATTAGAACAGTCCATGAAGACAAAATTTCAAGGTTTTCAAGAAGTTTTTGAACAAAAACAAGATTTCTCTTTATACATTTTCAAATTTCTGCTCCTAAACAGCATTTGAAGGAAAAACACACGTCATCAATAAAACCCTAAACGCCATTGCCGTTGATTAATTTCCTCAAGATTTTACAACAAAACGTAAAAAGTTATACAAATACGCTATGTACATAGAGTTTGGTGCACATAATACAACATTGTAACAGTATCTGTAAATGCATATGTTATAGGGGAGATTAGGGCGGAAAAGATTTAGGAACATTTTTGAAAAAAAGAGAATGAAAAATATAGTCGTTATGGGCTCCACACAAGAAACAGAAATTTAAATTTGGTGACTTGATGTGATAGATAACGATCATATTTTTCATTTTATTGGGGAACGAATGGAAAACATACAGCGGTTTACTTGTTTGTTCGGAATATGAGGAGGATGGTAGGTTTGTTCAAGTGGCATTTTCCAGGATGGTATTGGTAATGGTACACGCAATGAGAGTTTCTCAGTTTGAATTGTAAATGGGATGATTTTTTTATTTTTATTTTCAAATTGTGAAATTGTATAATAATGTATTTAGAGTGGGACGAATATATACAATTTGTGTGGATTTATAGAGTTTAAATGGATCGTTTTAATAAGAACAATATTGAAATGTGGTGTGGATGAAAGTATTTTTTTTTTTAATTTTAATATTGCAATAGGGATAAATATAAAGTGGGATGAATATATAATAATCGTGAATGTAAATGACGGCTCCCTAAAATTATGCTCCACTCTTTAAATTAACATTTTAAAGTATATTATGGGTTTAATTTGACTCTCCAAATTTAAAAAGTTAAACTCACTCTTTATAATTACAAATTAATTTCTCTCTATCATAACACTGGGATCTATCATAGTGCTAGGAACCGGAAGAAGTAACACTAAGGTTACAAGACTAAAAACTAATGGGTACAACATATATATATATATATATTTTTTTGTTTTTTGTTTTTTTGTCACTACCAACTTTTCTATAAAATCCCTAAGCCCCCGTAACCCTTCAAAATCTTCATGATTGTGCATGTCAATAATATATATCTGAATTTGTTCTTCAAGTGCCAAGATCTCCGGTGATTTTTTAAAATCTTTGAGATTATACTTACACAATTGAATTAACTTGTTCTTATTGAAAGCAAAAAATGAATTATCTAGAGACAAAGATGCAACACAAAGGAGTAAGTTACTATTTACCTCGAGGAAATGATCATTCAACTCTTGAAGTTGCATATCGATGGATAGCATTGAAGAAATCCACACAAAAGTGATGAAAATTTATCATTCCTAGCAGAGACAGATTGAGGGGGGGCTGGGCTAGGCTGGGCTGTAGCCCCCCCCCCCCAAAAGCCCAAGAGCTTTTCTTTTAAGGTATTTTTTATTTTTATTTTTTGGTAAAATTATTTTTTTTCGTTTAGTAGCCCGATTTGAAATTTTGCAGCCCGGTCTTGGATCCAATCCTGGATTCGTCCCTAATTCCTGGAGTATTACACCTTAAATGACCTAGAGTTATAAACATATCATCCATATTATGAACATCAATTTTGTCCCTTTCGCCAAAACAAGAATCTATAGATTGAAATTGTTGTTGCATTATTATCTTTAGTGAAATACCACTTGCTCTATTTTGTCTATGTATTTTCTAAAAGTCTTTGGTAGTTATTCTCGAGGGATGATTATATACTACAGTGTAACTTCTGCATGTATGGGTGTGTCATCTATTTCTGGTATTATTATTATAGCTTAATATTCTGAATTCGGAAGGTCGGGTGCTTTGTTAGTTTGTCCACCAAAGGTTATATTCCATATAAAACTTAAATGACACATATACCCTTTCAGTTAGAAATTTTGTGGAGAAGCCAAAATGGTTTCCTTGGGGACTTTTGTGTACTGAATAGAGATGATCCATCTTCGAACAGTTCATGATAATATATGCGATTAATTTCAGTTCTTCTACTAAAGGCATGTTGGCCGTAGCATGGAAATTTCATTTGGTGTGTTGTTATTTCATGCTTTTCTAAACCGTAGTTCAATGAAATTGTTCATGAGCATACCACATTCTTCACCCAATTTTTTCTTTGTTATGTCTTCCTTTTTTTTCTTTTTTCTTTTGTCAATTGAGTTACTGAAAGTGAAAATAAGGGCTAATTTAATGAATGCAACCCTTATTTTTCAAGCATTCTTTTACATATATATATATATATATATATATATATATATATATAAGAACACCTTAAGCTCTTGATCAAGTCCAGCTAACACTGATTCATAGAAAATGTTTCTGTGAAATTCATCAAAGAAACCGTGCGTTTGTAAAGGTATAAAACCAAGTAACGTATCAATTATAGGATGATGTTTGGAGGAGATATATAATATATGATCGCTCACAATTAGAAAGAGATCTGCAGGACTAGTAAACGAATTAGTGAGTGAGATATCCATTGCAACAAAAGGAAGGGATGGTCGAATTGCAGGGAAAAAGAAAGAGAGTGAAAATGAACGTTGTCTACCCACTAAACTTTGGTTTAAAGCATAATAGACGGTTCCACTGAAGCAAAAACAGAAAATTTTGATTAGCTTATAGCTTTGAAGCCATGAAATGGATGTTGTAGCTCTGAAAATCAAATGAAAACCCAGAAAAGAAGAGGAAATGTAAACCAACTATGCTATTTGTAGAGCCTTAATTGTACAATCATTGATGACAACCTTTGTTGACATCGTTACATTCATCCATTTTTTTAAATTGTCAAAAACTGTATTTTAAATTATTGATCCGAATTTTACCATCTCCAACATTGTCAACAAACATTATACAAATAGTTTAATTCAATGTAAACGGACGAAGAAAGAAGACCAGTAATAATTGAGGGGTGTGTGTGTGTCGTACAGCTCATATAAAACAAATGATCGATTAAAATTTATAATTTAATGAAAGTCAAAGTAAATAATCCATCTAACTCACGTATTTTATTATATTTATACTTTTTAAAAACATATTATGTCAGGCGATTATTGTGGAATAAAACTGCATTATATCACATCACATGGTCCCCATGTGGAAGCTAGTCCAAATAGTATACATACATATATATATATATATATATATATATATATATAGCTTTCTTCACTTCAACGCCATACGCTTTGCCAGCTCATTCAATAGATTCATAAATCTTTGGGCAGAAAATTCTTCCGATTTGCCTAAAAAGATAGAAAATTGAGGTCCGGGTAAAGCTACTACCCTTAATACACCTTCGCGGGAGACTATGGGGGTACACTGATAGAGAAAAAAGCTCCGAAGTCTCAGAATGTTTGGGTTGAGTGAGAAGTCTCCAAGACTCTGATTTAAGTGTGTGTGTGTGTGTGTGTGTATAGCTGAACTTTTGACAAAACCTTCTTTATCACTGTATTTCAACAACAATTCTAATAATCTATTCCAGCTAACAATTTTAATCATAAATACACAATTATTTCCAATATTTATATGCCTACAATTAATTATTAAATTAAAATAGATGCCATATTTCAATTTGTTTCAAAAGACAACATTATATTCATAATAGACAACGGTTAATTTCATAAACAATTCTAAATCATTAAGTTAGGGAAGCATTACTTGGAAGTGAGAATGAAGTCTAAACTTGAAATTGACACTAATTTCTCTGGAAAAACAATTCCCTGAAATTACATATTCAAATTTCATTAATGCTACTAGTTGCAAAAATTGTTTAACTTCAACTTTTCAACATGAATGTCAATTGAATGGAAGTTGGAATTGAAGATGCTCTAGAGCCAATTGATGCACAGTATAGCATTTTATTAGACAAGACACTACATATATGCAATATTCAATTGTTCTTAATCAACAACGTTTTCACAATTGGGCGATGATATAGTGGAGTTTAGGACAATCGGCCCCACAATAGAAGAATTTAGTCTAATGCTACAAAAACAAGGTCAAAAATAAGCTTAAAAACAGGGATGACACGTGTTAAAGCATAAATTGACAGTTTGAAAATTTAAAGAAAAAATACCCAACCAAATGCTACTAATTCAATCCATCCACACTTTCCTGTTTTTAACCGTGTTCAACCATCATTGACAAAGAATTTATAAGGCCCGAACATTTCATACCAAATTTGATCCATTGGCACGGCCCACGCGTAAAAATGCCATTTTGAGTTGTAACAAATTTGAAGTGTTGCTCAGTTGCTTAAATTTAATTGTGAGGAGAGATTGTGGCATTTGAATCATATGTTTCTCGTCTGGTTCCAAGAGTTGAATTTCTTCGTGTTGGGAAGGATTTAGGCAATGGAGTTGAGGGTCAATTGTTGGGTGAATGTGGGCAAAACTGAGCCCTAATTCTTTTAGATCCATTCTTGATGTCGAACAGAACTCTTGTAAAGTTTTGGGATGATTTGGGTTGAAATCTTGGTTGAAACATTATTGTGGGTAAATTATTATATTTCCTAGAAAAGACTTCTTCCAATTCAAATTTCATTATAATTTAAGTTGTGAGTAATAGAGACGATCCCAGAAACAGAAGGGACGAGCTCTCGTGTGCCATTGCGAATAAGAGCACCATATTCTCCAGACATGGCTCGATGCCATTTTGGATCTTTGAGAGCTTGGGTCGCAGTGGTTGGTTCTACATCACAGGCTTGGAGAGTTGAGTGGACAGATTGAGTTTCTGAACAGGTTTGTAGATGACACTTTTAGCCCTCGTAGTCACAGTGTGTATAGGTGTGGGTTGTGAGGAAGTGTCACGGTGAGTGGATTGTGTTTGTGGAGGAGTTTGAGGATTGGATCAATGGTGGCTGGTAGGGTACTGGAGTTTTGCAGTAATGGAGAGAAAGCAAGAATAGTTGATGGAGTGGTAGTAGAGGCCAAAGAAGCATCACCTTGAGAACGTCAAACGGAGGAAGAAATGGCATGAACAAGACTATGATTGGAGATGGAATCCCAGTGGACATGTAGAATTAGTAGATAGTGTTTAAAAAGGAAATAATTTAAAGTGGTAGAGAGGAGTCAACTGAAGATGTGGAAGAAGAAGATATTTATTGTTTTTATTGCAGATGTGACAGACACATTACAGAAGAAATTGAGAATATATAAGATGACAAATCTAGTTTATAATGAGAAATAATGTGTTTACAATAGAAATGCAGGATGACCTAATCTATGATGCCACTCAGTTGAAAAAGTCAACACTAGAAATGGTTATTACAAGAGTCGACTTCGAAGAGAGCATCGACCATTCATACACCTCATCCTTCGATTGCCTCTTCAGAAGGATTACCCCCGTGCTAAGTTCCTTCACAAGAAAAGAAATGGTGAGAATTAAACTTTAACATTGTTTAATGTGTAGAAGTGAGAAATGGATATTAAATTCCTTTTCGTGTTAGGTACACAAAGGACATTGTCTAAAGCAAATATAGTATTGAAAGAGTTTAGAGATGTAGAACCAGTGTGAGTGATAGAAAGACTCAAGCAATCACCAATTATAATATCATCGGAACCAGAATACGATGCATGAAGTGAGAGATTGCTCAGGTCTGCAGTGGCATGATGAGAAGCACCATTATCAAGGGGTGTGTTTGAATTGTTGGAAGTGGTGTTTGCAGCAAAATGAGCCCGAGGTTGGGAAGAAATTTCAGTGGGGAGGGCGCACCACGTGGAATGCCGAGGCACCACCTCGGCGGTGGCCCACACACCTCAGGGGTGTGTAGTGGGCCACCATCTGAGGTGGTGCACCTTGATAGGGCGGTTGTACCTCCACGTTGTGCGACTGTCCTACTGAAGATTCTCTCCTGGGGTTGCCATGGTGGTGGAGTGTTGGTTGCTGGGGACTTGTATTGGATGACTGAGTGGGGACCAGACAAAAAGGGACATCTCTTAGCGGCCTATCCCTGTATTCCACAAATTTGAGAGAATCCAAGATCGGGATGTGGGGGAGATAGGTCAGTTCAAGAGAAGCTAGGCCCGATGTTAGAAGATGAGGGGAACAATGGTTGGCATTGAGCGACAGGCACCAGCCAAATCATCGTGACAAGAATTTGGTGATGCTCGCTAGGTGCTTCTAGTTGCGCGGAGCTAAGATGGTGTGGCTTGCAGGATTTGCTGAAGCTGGAAAGTATGAAGGTTCAAATTTTGTACCTTGAAGAGAAACTTTCAAAATTCAAGAGTTTTTCATGGAGTTCGTCGAAGGATATCAAGGTGTCCCAAGCTTGAACTGCTCGCACGAGTACTTTATAGTCATCACCAAGTCCATCAAGGATTTTATCTATAAGATCATCAACATCAATTGGTTCACCAAGGATCGGAAGCTCATCATCCCCAGCTTTCACAGTTTGGAGAAAATATGTAATACTTTGGGAACCCTTAAAGACATATTTTTAAGACAGGTTTTAACTTGCCTGATGTGTCCCCGTGAAGGCTTAGGATATGTGTTGGCTAGAATTTTCCAAGCTTCTTGTGAGGTTTTCGCTTTAGTCATATGTGGAATAATGGTAGGAGAAACAGAGCCAGCCATATAGCTTGAGCAGGATTCAGTTGAGAGATGATGTTTGCTGTGATAGTGGTGGCTGGACAAGGTTTTGAACCGTTGATATAACCAAGGAGATCATATCCTAACTAGTAGTATTGGTTGTGGCCATTTTGGTGGTTTATGGATCAAGTATAACATAAGATTATATCTAGATATAATAAAAGATTAATCACCAAGTATAACAGAGGATTATCTATAGAACATAATATTCTCTCTAAAGATAAATAGAGGATTATCTCTATTAATAACAAAAAATTATCTCTAGAGATGATAGATGATTTTCTCTATTAGTGAGAGCCCTTTTTTGATCGAGATCCTGATGATGAATATGCAGAATTGATTGATCATGTTATGTTGGCATCTTCAAAAACAGTTAATGTTAGCGCCGAAAAGAAAGTTCAATCTATGGTTTTTTATGAAGACAATACCCATAAAGGTTAAAAAAAATTGAGGGATGTAATCAAATACGCTAAGAGAAGGGATGAAAGAAATCGAAGCAAGAGTTTGCGTTCAAATGAAATGAAATTTGAGGCAATAAAAAGGAAGTGCGAGGAGACGAGTCTACATATTCATACAAGAAATCACAGTTCATACAAGAAACAAAGCAAAAAATAAATACTGATGGAAAGTAAACTAAACTCCTGTAAGTATGGACTATGCCTCTGGGAATCCAATGAGTTCTCAAGTTGACACCTAAGCAAGTATCAGCAACTCTGGGAATCCAATGAGTTCTCAAGTTGACACCTAAGCAAGTATCAGCAACATCAGCCCTACGATTATTTACAATGGCAACTTCTCCATTGGAAATAATCTTGTCAAAAGGGATCATTTTTCTTGTAGTGTGGGAGAAATAATCTCCAACGAACTGGCTGTCTTCCTCTTCGCATATTCATTAGCTATGCTAATAGAATTAGTGTTGTGGCGGAGATAAAACTCTGCTAGTAGAATCTGGCGCTCTTCCAATGTTAGATCCCCATGACAACCCTTAAAAAAAGAACCATGATGAACTTTCAAAAACGAGTGTCATATATCTAACATTGTCAAACTGAAGGAAAAAGAAACGACAAGTTTCCATTTCATCGTGAGAACATATATGCCCAAAAAAACTGGTCAAGAAAAATATAATTTTGGAAATAATAGAGAAGTGAAAAGAGTAATGCAGTGTGTAATGGCTCGTGACTAATCATACATGTGGATAATCGGTGGGTTGAAGTTGATTATACTTGTTCTCAACACCAAAGATGGTAAAAATTAAAATTCAAGTACATTAGACTAGCTTCCAAGGGAAAAACTGAAGGCTCCAAATGCATCATTTGAAAAGATGAAATATTTTCACTCCATTGCCAATCATAAAGACAAAATACTAAAGCAAAATCCACCCTCACCACACCAAAAAAATCAATAAATAAAACAAAGAAAGGAAAGGAAAGGAAAGGAAACAGAATACGATACACAAGCAAAAACATCTAACTCTAGAAAGTGGCTACTTCGAAACTTCTGTCTTGATGTGATAAGCCATAGGCTTTTTTTTCTCAATTAAACAGTCTATAGTAAAATAATATACACGTGAAACTGAATGAACATAGCTCCTATGATATACAACAAGTGGTTCATGACAAAACAAGGTTTTGTCAATTAGAAGAAAAAAGGTATTACCATGCGCAAATTTCTATCATAGACAGCATGGTGCATAAGAAGGCCAGCAGCAACCGAAACATTGAACGAATCTACCATTCCTCTCATTGGAATACTGCAATGCAGATCTGATAAGTCAAGAGCCTCATTGCTTATTCCCCTGGAATTCACAAATTCTCTGTGAGAAAATTCAAAATAATTTCCTATTTTCTAAAGCCCTCTAAATTAATGACATCAAAGTTTGTAATATTGAGCATAGAAGCAACAGATCTATAGGTTTTAGACTTTTAGCATGCTGTTATGATCACTTTCCTAGTGTATTGTATTGTCCATGATGGCAATGTGCAATTGTCTTAAGATAAAAGGAAAAAATACATAGATAGAAAAAAATTAAATTAAATAAATAAATAAATAAAAATTTACCTATGTTCATTTCCAACAACAATTGCAGTAGGGCATGACCAGTCCACATCATAGAGAGAGACCTGGAGAAAGCATCAAGCATTATGTCATGCTGAACAATGCAACAGAGATTAAAAACAGAGTAACTAAAAGAAAATTAAATGTGCTCGTGACCAGATACCCAAAATGGTTTATAATTTACCGCGTCCATCCCCAAATGGGTAGTTGCAATTCTATAACCACGTGACTTTAGAATTTCGAAGCATTCTTTAGTGGAATTCCATAGTTCAATATCCAACCATTTCTCTGCTCCCATGCTGACATGACGATTGTCTTTGTACCTGCTTGTTGAACAAGGAAATAGAATAAGTTTCTGCAATAGCAGAGTAAGAGAATTATTTCCCTGGGCTGACATAAGATATACCTATAAAAACATATCGCTCGTTATGAATGATGGAGAATGCCAAAGTGACCTTCAGACAAAAAAATAAGTTGAATGCTATAGAACAGCTTCATATACCCAGTAATGATAGAGAATCCCTATTACTATCAGCTTGAATTAAGTTCCCTAATGAGTTCTTATATTTTTGCTCTATTAACAATGAACTTGTAAAACATATCCTTGCATCAGTCATAGATAGCAGAACTAAGATGGTATACAGAGAATAATCTTTAATCATGGTTGGATTAAGGATGGCAGTGCACCACCGTGTACCCATATCCACGGATCAATTTGCCAATTCTACTTGCCTATGCCTTAGGGACTCCCATTTATAAGAGAGGGATAATTTCACTATAACATATTAGAAGATCCCAAATAAATACCCATGTTTCGAGTGTTTCATAACTTGATTTACTTCATATGCTATGAGTCTAAACCAATTTCAGCTAGCAGATTGTGGATCCTAATTCTCCTTTGAACTTCATGAATAATTAATTTAATCGAACCTATTCGATAGATTAACCATATAGAAATTCAACCTTAATATAAATACTGCATAAAGTTGAAATGCTTAACGCTTTATCAAACCAAAAATCAAAAGGCATTTTCACCTCAGGCATTGTTGCACCTTTTGGAGCCATCACGTGACACAACGTGAACTGACTGAAGCCCTAGCGCATCTGCAGACCGAAAGGCAGCCGAAACGTTCCCGAAATCGCTCAATCCCTCGACCACTAGGCAGACAGAATAGCTACGGTTATTCACCACATTCAGAAACCTGTCCTTCCTTGTCTCCATTATATATGGATCCAAAGCTTCTAGCACTTCAGCACTGTTCAAACACATATCACCCGCTTTGACTTCATCCAAATACGGAAACCAACGATTTGGCTTATGATCATTTATATATCCACTATCATTTCCTGGCCGGCGCTCAAATTTCATTAACCTTGCTATGTCATCCTTGTCTTTTGAAAGTAGTACCTCGATTGTTTCTTTAGATGAATTTCCGAGAACTTCGGGGGTGACATTTTGAGGTACCATTTCCTCTGAGTTTTCCAAAGAAATTGCCCCTTCCACACCATTGTAATGTCTCGAAATTGAAGGTGGTTTATGGGTCTTGAGCCTCAGCCCTACTTTTAACAAAGCCAAATTAAAATTTGAATTAATACGAGATTAATTTCAAATACAAACACCCCAATACATGAATGCAGATCATACATAAGTACACACGCATAACAAACATATACATGTATGATATGCATTGGTAAAAATCCAGAAATTGAAGGTGATTAATGGTTTCTGACCTCAGCCCTACTCTTAACAAAACCAAATTAACACAAGATTACTTAAATTTATTAATACACTCGCCTCAATATTTAAATTCATATGTCATATATATGTAAATTTATGTACCTGGATGAGGTGATAGAGAAGCCGAGAAATGGCGGATGGTTGTATTGGGACTTCGGACTTTGAATTCAAGGCATAAAAGGGATGTACGGATTAGGGTTTTGCAGGAGCTCATTGTAGTAGACTCGCTGAATTAACGATTGGGCTCCTAAGGAGATGAAGTGAACCGTTGCTTTACGACGTCGTACCTAACTGTCATTTTTGAGGATTCTAATTATCTTCAACATTCTATTAATTAGAAAATCTCATCCTGAATTATAATTTATATCAAAATATTTATTTTCATGCTTATAGAAATAAGGAAAAATATTTTTTGCTCTTTTATTTATTTAATTTTTACGAATATGATAAAAAAATTTATTTTATGCCATTTCAACAAACTTTTGGTCATAAAATTGTAATCAAATACAAAATATGTTAACTAATGAAAAATCGTTAAGGATATAAGTATTATAATAAGCAAAGATCAAAAATCTTAAGTGCAATTAAAATGTGGTGCAATAAATAAAATTTGTGGTGCAAATATAATTACCGATATAAGAATGGTGGATGAAAATAGAGGCTCTCCAAAATTAATTACTCTTTGTCTGAATATTTTATTATTTGTTAATAAAAATGTAAATATATAATATATTCATCAGAGAAAAATAACTCAAGGAAATCATTATAATGAAAATTAGTTAATTTACATACAAACTATATTTTTTTAAGTGAAAAAAAAAATATTTAAAAGGGAATTACAAATTTATAATAAAATAGTAGCAATCACGATATATATGGTAATTTTCTATGTAGCATAATTATTAAAAATATATATATTTGACATGACATGATAACATATATACATAAAAACTATGCTTTATGAATTAAGTACAAACTTGTTGGTCGAAATTTGAATTAGTTAAGTCAAAATTCAGCGAAGTGACATTTTATTATGAATGCAGAAATCCTCGTAAAAACGATACAAGCTACTTTGTCGAAGAACCAATTAGTTTTCATGGTGTTACTATTGTTAATCTTCACTTTGCTGATTTTGTCCATTTTTGTCTCGATGTTTAGGCCTAGATATTTGGTCTGTGGCTCATTCGCGTTGGCAAGAGAGGTTGCTTTTGAATATTTTATAATATCAAAAGAGAGAAAATGGCAAAGCTAGAATGCAATCAATCGAGCTATACTTGCATGCTTTTTCTTATGGTAGTAAAAATGCATCGATACAAGTTGAAATGAAGTCTCTCTCTTCGAAATCAAAGCAATTGTTGGTAGCACTTGATATATTTTGTGGAGTTCAATATTAACGTAAAAATCAAAATAGTGATACTACGTTTGATATACAGTATTAAATTGTATTAAACAGTAACATAAATAAGAATTTACGAAATTCTATAATATCTTTTAAGTCATGACTAATGTTTATGTTGATTACATATAGTCATATACGTAAAATATAATCGTAATGGTCAAGTAATAGAGTGGAATATCACTCAGTTATACACTCTCCCTCTATTTCAATTGTGTAATTGTACTTTATTTTTGTTCAATTGGATAACTACATTTTAGTTTGATTTTAATTGGGTAACTCCTCCTAATTTTGTCACTTGAACGGATGAATATAGGACAATAAATGATGCCTGCACTTTGTTTCAATGATATTGTACATATTTCATTTCAACAACTAAGATTACATGTGATAATCATTATTATTGAATGCTATTGGAATTGGATAAAGTAACATTAATTGAAATCAAATTAATATGTGGTTACCCAATTGAAATTATATTAAAGTATAGTAGTCTAGTTGAATAAAATTGAAGCACAATTACATAATTGAATTATTATAAAAGTATAGTTATCTCAAATGGAATTTAATCATAAAAAAATAGTTTGGACGACCAAGTCAAATATTATGGGCCAAATAATTATATATCATAAGAACTATTGACTAACAAATAAAATCAGGTAGATAAAGACGGATAAATAGAAAATTTAAAAACTTTGTTGCTTTTTTATTTATAATGTAATTTGACTGCCTGAATTGGAAAAAAAAAATAAGTATAACATAAGAAGCACGTGAAAGAAAAATTTCAGTGCTATTACTTACTGATAACATAGGGAATTGAGATATATTTATGAGATTATGGCTTACATTTTGATTTTTAATTTTCTTAAATTAAAAAAAAAAAAAGATAAATATGTAAGTGGGTTGAATTAGTTCGGTTAACCAACGGTTTGAGATTTCAAACCTTGATTGAACCAACCCACATGATTTTGTTTAAAATATAATTAAACGAAACCAATTACCTATGTCAAACTGATCCGAACCGACCCAAGTTGATTTGGTTTGATTGGTTTAGTTGGTTTTTCGATTTTTTAGCCCCGGCATAGGTGCAATATAATACAATATTTATTTATTTTTGTTGGAGGGGGAGGGGATGGGCGTACTAATCCTTGCACACTGACCTCAATTGTGAAAACAACAATCCTTAATTAACTGGGACAATATGAATTGGTATCCAATAGATATTGCTAGTTGCTACATTGTCTCATTATTGTGTCCGTTCCTTCCAATTACAGGCTACATTTATGGTGCAAGTGTATAGAGCCATATGCTCAATCATACCATGATTTTTTATTTTTTATTTTTGGGTATTTTAAGAATTCACAATCATAAAAGGGATTCCATATTTTTATTAGATCTTTTTTGAGAAAAATAGGGATGTAAGAAAACATTTCAATACTTATTTTTCATATATAGCGACAAATTAATGTGATTCGTGGAGTGAGACAACTCTCGAAAAAAAAATTGTGAATCATCGTAAACAGATGAATCACATAACATCACGTTTAAGCACACGTTTGGAGTGGCTAATCTTAAAGATCGATCACTATTGTGTGACTTATTTTTAACGTGGATTCACCTACTCTCAAAATAAATCAATATTAATTATACATTTAGAACTTATCTTTAAGATAAGTAATCACAAATTGCTTTAAGAACGTTAGACCAGAAAAAAGTTACTAACTTATAAATTGAGGATCCACAAATTATATCCAGATAAGTTGAGAATTCCCATTGAAGGTGGAATATTGATGAAAATGCTGCGCCTAGGGTAAGAAATAAATCGCATTGCTCGTGGATAAAAAGATAATAATGGAATAGTAAAAACATTGTGCTAACCGCGGTTCTATGGTGTAGTGGTTAGCACTCTGGACTTTGAATCCAGCGACCTGGGTTCGACTCCCGGTAGGACCTTTCCTTTTTTGCTTTTCAAAGAGTGCCAAAATCCTAAGAGCCTGTTTGGCTAAGGTTAAAAGGTTTCTGAATAAGTAAATAAATAATGTTTTTCTTCTGATTTAAAGTTGAAGTTTAATAAATTATTTATTTTAACAAGAAATTTTTCTATAAAGTAATTTTATTTTATTTTTATTTAAAATTAAGAAAATATAACATATATAAACATACAACAATTGAACCACTCTAAATTTTTATATTATTGGGACCCACACTTGAGTATTAATTGAGAGAGATTATTAACTTGAAGAGTTTTAATTCGTAAATTGTTATTTTGTATTAAAAATTATGATATGCTCTATAAAATTTAATTTCTTTAAAAAAAAAAAAAAAACTAGGGTCAATAAGCTTTTTAAAAATTTCCTGGCAAATATATCTTGTCACATCTGTTAATTTAAACCTTTTTTTGGCTACAACAAGGAGGATCAGAATACCTTGAGGAGAATTCAAACATGATTATTGAAATGATTAATTGGCTGAAATATGTGTTTAATTTTTGAAAGTAACAACGTCTCATTGATTGAAATAAAATCATTATTTAATACTTATGTGTGAGATTCATTAATTACGAGCATGTGTAGTAAGTGATTTGAAAAAAAATAAAATAATTCATTTTATTAGCATCGTTACACATTAAGGGCCCGTTTGGTAGAGATTTTGAGAATTGATTTTTTGATCGTTAGAAGAAAAGTGAGGTCCATATGTGAGAGAAGAAGTCAAAAATTACGGCTTGAATAGTAAAATAACGATCAAAAAATCAATTTTTTGGTGGCAAAAAATCCCTACCAAACGGGGCCTAAATTTTGAACGAAAATAGGTGTTCAACATGTTTATTTGCTATCACTTTATTTAAAAACCCGTTATCACCGTCTAAACAATTAGATAAAGTTCGAACATCTCCGTTCTTGCTCACGAGGGACGCTTGTCATACCATGCATGGTGGGTTAATAGACTCTATTCTCGCTTTCTTCCTCTTGAGGAGAATGTACTCATCATTTTGACATTTCTCGGTCTATTCTATTTGTTTTTAGGTCTCATCGGTCTTGATTTTGAAATCCTTATTTTAAATACTCAACAAGTATTTTTACTTCCTATTGAGGAGGGTAGAGAATACCCTTTCAACCCTTGCAGTTGCCACAGGTAATATCAAAACCAATGTGATCCGCCTATAAACCAATGGAAAATAACAAAAACTTCCATTTTCAACCAACTTCTGAGCTACACAAGATATGCTTTTGAGGTTGAAGAAAGCTTCATCCATTCTTAGGAGCATAAGAAATTTGTCAAGTTGCGGTCTAAGTAATAAAAGCTCTTCACTATTGAAATCCATAGGATATAACTGAGCAAGTCATACCAATTTACATACATCAAAAGCTGCAAATGAATCTCTTGGACTTAAACACGAAATACAAGTAAAAAGCTCAGTAGTTGTTTCTGGAAAACGATCATTCAACTCTTGTAAGATTGAATCTATCACATAACAAAACAAATCAACATAAAAGCAATGATAATAAGTCACCTGCTGACTTGCACGCCTGGGTTGACCTTTCAATACTACAATATCATCCATATTGGGCATTGAAATATGTCTATCAACACAAAACTAAATTACCTTACTCAACAAAGTATCCCAACCACTGTCTCTCATATTCTGCAATGCGTACTTACACAACTTCAATAATCTCATAGCATTCTGAATATTCTGATTCTTTTTCTGTAAGGCTTGTGAAAGGTCGTCTGTAATTGCAAGAATTTCAAACATAAAATGGAGACTGAACACAAATTGAAAATCTTGCATAGTGTCCATCTGTCTTACGGCCATTAATTTTTGCTGTAAACTTATGCTGTCTTCTGATATATTTTCAAGAACATCTATGATCGCATTAAACATACTAATAAAGCGAGTAACTGTCTTTAGATGTGAGCTCCATCTAGTATCACCAGAGCATGCCAAACTCATTTCTTGAAACTGACCAGTTCCACCAGAAAGTTCATCAATATTAAGCCTCTCCAGAATTTCAACACGATAACTTGTTCGAAGAGCATTTATACGTTTACATGATGCATCAACCAAATTCACAATAATAGCAAGCATGTTAAATAAATCGCTAAGCATAACATTCCTAAGTGCAACAGAAACAACTGTCAACTGAAGCTGGTGAGCAAAGCAATGAATATACATAACACATAGGTTCTCTCTTAAAATTAAAGCTTTTAAGCCATTGAACTCACCTGACATATTGCTTGTTCCATCATAACCTTGACCTCTCAGACTAGATAAGCTCAACCCATGTGTAGAAAATATTGCATCAATGGCATCCTTGAGTGAGTGGGCACAAGTATCAGCGATGTGGCAAAGCCTAACAAACGCTCCTTCACTTGCCCACTTTTGTCAACAAACCTCAAAACAACTGTTATTTGTTCTTTTATAGAATTATCACGAGACTCATCAATCAAAATTGAAAACAAGGAATCGCCCATCTCATTGATCATAGACATTATCGTCTCTACAGCACACCAATTAACCAAATCCTTATGGATGCTTGGTGAAGTCATTTGGTCATTTCCAGGAGCATTAATAAATAGTACTTCATTAATTTTCTTACGATGAGCTGCATACCAATTTAGTAGCTCAATCAGATTTTCTTTATTAAGAGACTCTTTCGATTCATCATGACCACGAGATGACAATCCTTGCATCAAGAGGAATCTAGTACAGTCTAGCACCGCAATCAACCTTGTCCTACAATTTTTTTGTTGACTACTACTTTGGTTAGAAATAACATGGGAGATACTTTGCTTTTGATTCATCAAATTGATACACTTTGTAAAAGTTTGATTATGAGCACTATCAATGAGCCCGACATGATCTTTCAATGTACTTTTGTGCTTTCAATCCCTAAAGCCAGTCTTAATGAATATATGTCCACCCCCTTGACCCCCTCTATCTGGTTTGAATAAGTATCAATGCAAACAATAAGTCGTATCATTTTCTATATTGTACTCCAACCAATAAAATTCAGAGAATCGTTCTTTTCAAAAACACCTATTATCATTTCCTATTCATCTTCTTGGAAAGTCATGTCCATGTGGTTGACAAGGACCTTTTTGCAAATATGACATCCTAACATCATCTCTGATATTAGGATCATATGACTCGATGGGGAGGGCGTTTTCCTGGATCAGATACAAGATCATCCACATTGCATTGAGCCCGAGACTTCCTTGTGCTGTTTAACAACTCGAGTGCTCGGCTAGAAGCAGTGGCGGGACTAGAAGCGCAACTAGAACTAGAAGAACTAGGTATAGACTTTCGTTTCGGTTGAAAAAATCGTTCCATAATCTGCAAAATGCCCTAATTTAATTTTCAATTACAATTGATTAAAAAATCAACAATTCAACAAAAAAAAATCCCCAAGAGTTAGATAGCAATGTATTAGAAAAATCAAACACTAAAAAATTAGTCAAAGCAGCAAAGTTACCTAAACAATCATCTAGGTAGTACATCACCAATTTCATTAGATCTTCAAAATACACTTTCCTTAACATAATTGATATCAGTTAATAGTTATGACTAATCAAAGCTTTGCCACAAAACCCTATCCTTAGAACCATTTATATTCATCTCTTTCACAGTTTCACTACGAAATTGGCCGAATTCAACAAAGTAGCTGTTATATACTTATATTCATACCATTTCATTTGCATAAAGCTCAATAGACAATACAATAGGATCTCCTCTCCACTGCTGACTTATGACTTATGAGATAAATTTTGAAAATACAAAAAAGTGTAAACCACTAAACCTTCAATAGCCATTCAAAATGCAGGCAGCCATAAAGAAAACAAACAATAAAGTATCTTATCAAATGAGAACCCCAGAAGAGAAAGTAACATCCGGATTGAATTGACAGCAAACCTATGTACCTCCAATTTAACATTGCAATTTATTCCCATTTTTCATTCAATATTTTGTTAAGACCCTACTCCTAGACACCAATTGTGTGTTTAGTTAGGTGGACTACACAATATTTAGACAATAGTAAACACAAAAATAAGTTAAAAATTTATTTTCTTGTCTATTCTATTGACCAATCTTATCCAGTATAATAGCATTAAAGAAGAAAATAAATTAAAATCTGGTCCATTGTATTGTCCAAACAGGTCATAAAGGTTAATATTTCCCAACAAAATACCGGGCTTCTTTCTGTTCTTCACACGAGGATGCCGATGCAGTACAATAGGCAATAGCATTTTCAACGCATTCACTTCAAAGTTCACATAATCACTTTAATAAATTCCCACAACCACAAGTATTGCAAAATATATAAAAATGTGAAAAATATTAGAAAATTTCTAGAGCTGGAGTTGCAGACTTGTAGCCAAAATGAAATCCATGATTTTTGGAAAATTAGATCAATATCACATGCACGAAGTCTAAAAGAATCTTGCATTTTTTGAAGCGGAGTGCGACTGTGTACACGGGCTGCCTGCTGGACTGGACTCGGTGGCAGACCTGGCACCGGTGCCATCTGCAGCGTCTGCTGGCTGTTGTGGCCTGTGGTAGTGGTGGACTGGTGGTTGACGGCTAAGACGGGGAGAGCCCTAGATTGGTAATGGCTGGTGATGGCAATTTGGGGAAAAATCTAGGACTCGGTCAGTGGTCACTCTGCGTCTTTGCTTCGGGTTGCTCTGCCCGCTAGGTATATGGTATGGAGTGGAGCAGGCTGCAGGTCATTTGGGCTTCTTTAATTGAGCCATATTTTTTTAAAAAAATTGAAGCCCAACAGCCAACAGTCACGAGACTAACGACACTGAAGGAAAATAAAAACTGACTCCAGCGGTCGGCGTGGCGGTTCCGGTGAAGCCAGCTAGGTCGGCCGCCCTAGCTGGCCATAAGCTACATCTGCCACTGCTTGTCATACTTTGCATGGTGGGTTAATAGACTCTATTCTCACTTTCTTCCTCTTGAGGAGAATGTACTCATCATTTTGACATTTCTCGGTCTATTCTATTTGTTTTTAGGTGTCATCGGTCTTGATTTTGAAATCCTTATTTTAAAATTCCATTCTGTGATACTCAACAAGTATTTTTACTTCCTGTTGAGGGGGCTTGGGCTAGGGTTTCTTATAACAGCTATTTTAGCTTTTTGGGACCCAAGCTAGTACAAATGATAAAAGTCAATAGGCGCTTCTCGCGCAACAAGCTAGGAGGAGCGAGTAAACCAAGGTTCACTAAGCGTGTCAGATCTCATAAAGGCCACCTCATCGATCGAAACTAGTACCATCATCTATAAAGCTCCGAGCCCTGGTGGTTAGGTGAAAATCTTTGAGATTCTCCCCTCCCAACCACATCCCTTCCTCCTTAGGTCCCTTTCGGTCGATACCTTTTCTTTCATTAGGGCTGGACAAAACTTTTGAATTGAGTCATTCGAACTGAACTCGAATTGAACCGACCAGTTCTTCTTAAGTTAAACACCCAAACGAGTATCTAAATTGAGAACCGACGGGTTCAGTTCGGTTCTCAATTATAGATCAAGAATCGACGAACATAACCACCCTAATTTTTTTAATTAATTTATTTTAAATAAGTCAAATTATTTTATTTTTCTAAATGTATTTGATAACTAGTTAATTTAACTCAAACCCAAAAATATGATTTTCCTATTTCTAATTTTCAGTTCAAAGCCAATTTAATCAAATAGACCTAAATTTTATCCAAATCTATTACTCTACTGTAGTGTAGTTTCTATCGTTCTGAAAAATTTGAATTGAAGCTCAACAACGTCTCACTTAATTATTTTGAGCTTGCTATCTTCTTCATGTGATTTTAACAATCAAATTTATGAAAAAACTATTCAGTTGAATTAATGTAACTTTGTAAATATTAGAAAATTTAATTATAATACGAAACATAAAAATTGAGCCTAACTTAATTGAATCAAATGAAATCGAACATGAACAATCATAATTAAATTTGGACCCGACGATTCTACTTACTAAATATTCGAAAATTTCGGGTCCGGTCCGGTTCTATCCAGCCCTAAGCCCATCAAGCTCGTCCTCGAAGATGGAGGATTCATTTGAACTACAAGTGTTATAAAAACCCTTTTTCGAAATAGAAATGGAGAGAACGATGGTTAATTCTTCAATCCGAAGGGTAGGGTGGGACGAAGTCCCGATCTTGTTTTCGAAGTAGGTGGAGGAGAAGACAGTCGCATCTCATGCCAACCCAACTCACGGTCAAGGTGCGATATTCATCATGGTATTTTAACTAAAATTTAATCACGGCTTCAAGAGAAGCTAGTCCGATACTCCAATCACCCAAGTATGCTGACTAGCCTTGTTGCTACATAAACTATCGTATGGCTGCATTATCCTCGGCAATCTTGTACTTGCACCTTCATTGACATATGGTGAAGAGCACCAATCAAGCTCCATCATTGTCAGCCTCCCTTACCCCACAACCTTCACTTAAATTCAATTCAATAAAAAGTATTTGCTTCCAGTACTGGCTCGCGTTCCATCTTTACTGTTCTCGCTAATGCTTGCCCTTCTGTCCTCCCCCTTGATTCATAGATAGAGCTTTTCTCTTTTCACTCCTCATTTTCGCTACAAGATCTACTGCATTGGAACCCATGGTTATGGACCCCGAAACACCTTCCCCCTACTATCCCAATTGAATTACCGACTCTCCAGCTGCTGGGAAAGTTTCCCGAAGAAAGATTCAAGAAAAGCAGAAGAGCAACTGCTAAAAATGGGACCTTAATTCTAGCTCATTGGGCGTTATTCGTTACTCGATCCACTTCCACAAATGTTGCCTAACATTTGCGTACCTCATGAGTTTTTCTTGCGATTTTTGTTAAGTATTTCCATGTAGGGGTGGGCATGAGTTAGATTGGGTTGATTTTTTTCAACCCCGGACCAAACCTAACATAGTCAGTTTGATCTAAAATCAACCTGACCCATGTTGATCAGTTTGGCTTCGGCCCAATTAAAGTTGGATCCCATTATTTTTTTGTTGACTTTGGATAAATTTTTAAAGTTTGAAATTACTTGAAACTCTGTTTTTTTAAATACATATATAAGGAATTCTTTTTGAAAAATAATGTATAAATAAGTTTAAAATTTTTGAAATATTTTTTTACAATTTTTTGGGATTTATTCATTTCATTATCATGTTCTTAATTTTTACTTTATTATCAAATAACATTTCATTTGTACATAGTGTTCATGTAAATCAATCCATGTAAAGAAAATGAATGTTTATAAATTATAAATCCTTCTCATATCTTTATTATTGTGTTTACTTAGGTTTTTTCATCTTAGACATTAATTTCTTAATTAATCGGGTTGGGTTTTAAATTATAATCCAACCCAATTGAGGAGAATGTCCAACCTAAACCAGATCGGGTTGGTTTGGGTTGATCTGGTTGAGCAGTTAGGGTTGGGTTTTGCCCAGCCCTATTTCCATGGATGCTGTCAAAGTGTAGGCCTCAAAAATAAGAAATTATTTTCTAACATCAAGTGCCAAGGTTCCTCTCAGAATTTTAACAGGATGTGAGCATTTGTAAAAAGAGAGAAAGACAAAGTTTCGATGTTATTTTGGTTGGAAAATGCACAATGTTAATATATTCAAGAGTGTTAAATTAAAGTAAGAATGCAATGATAACAAATTAGGGACATAAAATGTAATAATGAGTAAAGATTATACATATTTCAATTAATTAAATTTTGGCGTATTTATTAAAAATTTAGTGTGAATATATTTGTCTTTTTAAAATTTTATACAACTGCTATATAATATAATAG